GTGTATAGGAAAGCTACAGATTTCTGTGTGTTAATTTTGTATCCTGCAACTTTGCTGAATTCCGATATTAGTTCTAGTAGTTTTGGAGTGGAGTCTTTAGGGTTTTTTATGTACAATATCATGTCATCTGCAAATAGTGACAGTTTGACTTCTTCTTTACCAATCTGGATTCCTTGTATTTCTTTGTTTTGTCTGATTGCCGTGGCTAGGACCTCCAGTACCAGGTTGAATAACAGTGGGGAGAGTGGGCATCCCTGTCTTGTTCCCGATCTCAGAGGAACCCATTTCTCTTTTTAAAAAAATTTTTTTATTTTCCTAGATTCTATGTTTATCTGTTTATTCAAAAAAATTCTTAACAGGATTTTGATTGGACTTCCATTATGTTTATTAAATAATTTGGTGACAATGACATCTTGACACTGATCTTTTTAGAAATACCATCTTCAGAAACTTTCCTTTTAAAAACTTTTGTTAATTGCTTCCAAGCATAATAAAATAAGTGAACATAAAACATCATTTTAGTTAACTGGGAAGATAATTCCTACTGAAGTGGAAACACATAGGAAAGATACATTTAGGCAGATATTGTAAATTCTGTGTTCAGTTAATGATTATGAATGTACCTGAGCCACAGTGAGGCGGTTTACATCATTTCTAATCTGAATTCTTAAATATTTTATCTAAAATGAACAAGGTATCAAGAAAATAAAGTAGCAAAAATGTGCTTGAAGTCAGACATGATCACACTGATCACACAGAGATGTTGCCTCTCTTCTTCTGCAGAGCCTTCATGAGATCTGACATGAAATCCTGCTCCCCGCTTCCTCCCACACCGGGTGGTCCCGGGTTCTCTTGCCTCTTTGGAGGAACCGGAGGCCTCCTGGCAGCAATGGGGGGCCTCGTGGCTTCAGGAGCGAGGGTGGGGGGTGGCAGAGGCGGCTGCGGTAACGTGGACCCTCCCCCCGCAAAGGATGGTGGAGGCGGGGGCACAAAATCTGGGGGCGACTCAATAAAATCAGGGGGTGGTGGAGGGAGCTGGTCATTCCCTAGAGATGGTGGCGGTGGCGGCGGCGGCAGCAGGAGGTTGTCGGGCGGGGCTGGGAAGCCGCAGGGGGGCTTGGGCTTGGCAGAGATCACAGGGCTGCCGCCTGTGTCTGAAGACCGGCGCACAGGAGGTGGCGGCGGCAGGCTGGACTTGGGAAGGTGATGGTCCCGGGGCGCTCCTGGGTCGTAGGTACCATGGGCTGGCTTCTTCTCCTTAAACAAAGCAATAACCGTATTACTCTTGATAACACGGCCACCATGGAGATGACATTTCCATTGACAGGTGACAGCTGAGGGATGGAGGCAGCGTCTGCCCCCCGGGGAGTCTCCATCCCTCAGTTCCGGAGACTTTAGGGAGACCAGCTAGCTCATCTCTGCTCTGGGATAGGAGAATGACTCCATGTGGCCTTTACCGTTACTACCAATACTCATAATTTTAGTTAACATTATTACCTGGCACTATCTACCATGTCTTCTTCTATAAATGGAAGACTCTGCCCTATTTGAGGAGGTAGTTGTTATATTTAGATTATACACTTATCTGCTCCCAGTGGGCCTTACACCACAGTTTGCTGATGTCTTTAGTGGGACTGATTTAGCTGCTTGTTGGGTCACGTCTGTCTTTATTTACCCTACAGTCAGCCTAATGCAACTCAGAATGGAAGCAAAATGGCTCTTCTGGAATTCCCACTCAACAACCTTGGTTCCCAAGCAAAGCCTGTTAGCATGAGATCCACCATCTTAACACAGTCTCCATTTTGAGAAGAATGGTAATTTCTCACCTCAGCTCAAGCCATGAGAATACCTTGGTTGGCCCCTATCAACCCAACCACAAAAGCAACCCCAACAGTAACTGCAAAATTTCCTGCCTCCCAAAATATCTCCTCTCTCCGTGGATGGGGGCCTCAGCCCTTTGCTGGAGACAGCATCTGCAGGTTTATCTCCAATAAACCTGTGTTGATGTTGAGCCGTGCCTCCTCTATTTTCTTTCCTAACCTAAAACCTTACAAAGCCGCCATGGTCATGAGCATATTCAGCCACAATATTTTTTTTGGTCTGAATTTAGCTGGTTGTGAAACTCACCTGTCAGAAGCAGGTGTTTTATAAAATTTTGCTCCCATACCACACCTCCAGTGGCAGAGAGGTGGACAAGGAGCTTCCCAAAGCCTTCCCCAGACCTCTTGGCTTAAATGTCCTACTTTGACTAGCAGAAAAAAGATGGCAAGGACAAAGAAAATGGGAACAGTTCTCTCTGGGCTACAGGTAACCTTTGTGCATCTCTCTCAGCAAAGAACTGATCTGCCTGCTCTTTTGTCAGTGTTAACTTGCTTGAGTGCTGAGAACAAACCTGCCTTTTCCCAGGACGGTGGGCTACCAGGGAGGAGCCAATTATACGCTCTGATTCCTCTGGTATAACAGCTTCTAGAGAGATGGTGGATGGGCCAGAAATCTGAACACCTGGTCTATAGTCTTAGATTTACCTTTTCTTAACTGAGAAAGTCAGCTGGCCAATCAGACATAAAACAAACATCATAAGCTCTATTCTATGTCTCAAGGTTATGATGAGATCAATTGAGATAAACGTGCAAGTGGATCCTGAAAAATAAAATCAGGATGCTTGTGCTATTGGTAGACACCAGAACACCAAACTTGGCTAAAGGCTAACAGAGGCACAGTCTTTTACTAACAGTGGAATAGATAATAATATATTATATTTATATAGTGCAACCTCTCCAGGAATTTCAGGTAGTTAAATTCAAAACTGAATCCCTGTTTTAGGGTAATTATCATTGCAATTTACATTTTATCAGGCTTTCATTTTCTTTAGAGGTTTTTTTCTAACAAAGTACCTGATGATTGACTTTCTATTTTATTTAGTTTATTTGCTTAGCATGATAAATTAACTGGTGGTATATTTTTAAAAATTTCTGAGCAGGCAATTTGGGAATTGGTGTTCACACATAGTTAAGTGATTTCTATTCTGGGATCCTTTTATTCCTTTCAGCATTTAAAAATGTTTCTTTTTAGTTGGTATTATAAAAACATGAAAATAATAGCTGGAAGCACACTGCATGGTAAGACTGTCAGACTTGAGAAGCTAAAAAGAGGATTAGAGACACAATGGTTTTCAAAAATTATAAGAAGTTCAATAATTACAAGATTTAATTGTTTCTACCACTGGCTGATGGATGAAATGAAGGAGGGGGAATGAAGTGAAAAATTACCAAAGGTACAATTATTTAAGATTGTTTTGAATCACACATGGGAAATAATCAAAGGAATTTGTATAGTCAGTTGAGATGTTACCAATTGGATTAGTAACCAAATTACAACTTTAAGCTGGATTTAAATGAATCATCATTAATCTCTAAAATAAAATCCAGTTGTTGTTATACCAATTTGGCTATTATTTTAAAATGCGTTTTCTTCTCTATCATCCTAAGGTAACATTAAAGGAAAACTATGAAATACAGACTTTAGAGTAGAACCTTGTTGGTAGTCTGCTAGTCTGGTTTTGGGCTCCACTCAGCATTTACTATTGGGCTTCTAACTTAACTGGTTGCTCTAATTTATTCAGAAAAAAATAAGTAAAAATTCCAAGGGCTTAAGACTGGTGCCATTTTCAGAGAGTGCTAAAACCACTTGACTACATGGAGAAAATTGCTTTAGTCAAAGTAAATGTAGCTAAATTAAAAATATTTACCAATCCTTAGCATTGAAAAAAAATTCTCACACTTTCCTGAAGCAGTGTGATAATAGTTGGGTTTAGCTTTCCCTTCTAGCCTATGTAACTTTAAGAGAAAAAATATAAAGCAATTATCTAAATGAAATTCTAGTGACTTCGTAGTTGGAACTCCCTTTTCTCTTTTTAAAAGCAGTCATTAGGACCCTGGTAATGGTTTGGACTGTAGACGTACAGGTGAAGCTGCCAGGCCTTGTCAGTCACTCTGGCCTTACCCTCATTAGTTCAGCCTGTGTCTGGGCTTCCTCGACAACAGAGCTCATGGGATGTGCAGCTTGGGGAATCTGACCATTGGCGTGGCTGGTGTCTGTTTTGAGTCCTGCGAGGGAGGAAGAGAAACAAGAGTAGGCAAGCCATTTCCAACATTCTTCAAAGTTAATCTGAAAATATGAAGCAGTTTATATCGCCAAAGCAAAAGAAAAGGATGCACAGGTACACAGGCCTTATGAAAACCCTGAAGTTCTGTGGCATTACTTTGAGAGATGCCTTGTACATCTGACCCTAAGGAACATTTTTTTTTTCAACACTATTCTTTTTTTTTTTCAGGTCAAATATGATTATTCGTTTGATTTTTATACTTGATTTATATGTGAATCCCACATTTCTCCATTATTATTATTATTATTATTTCTAATAAAATGCTGAAGTGGTAGGTAGATGCAAGATAAGGGTAGAAAACATAATTTAGTGCTGTAAGAGGGCAAATGTAGATGATCAGGTCTGTGCCTATAGACTAAGTATTAATCCGAGCTAGACAAGGGCAACAAAACATCCACGGATGCAGATTTCTCTCACAACAGGGGGGTGAGGTTCTAAGCCTCACCTCTGTTGATCCCCAATTTCTCACCTGATGGCCCCCCTGCGACTGTGCCTGTCTTAGGTTGTTCCTCCCTTGAGGAATCTTACCCGTCTCTGACTTTTTTCAACACTATTCTTGAAGTTCACCTTGACTGTTTCTTTGGGAGGAGGGGTGTTGGAAGGAACACGTGGTTTGATTTCTTTGGGGTCCCTTGGCCAGATGTGGGTCCCTTCAACATTTTCAGAAAACCCTGCTGGTTTTGGGCCACAAGTTCAGGTGAACAGAGAGGCTCGATGGTAACACAGGGCAAGAACTGAATTTAAAAGATGGCATCAATTCAGGCAGGTCATTGTTGCTAAGAGGTGATCACAGTCATCAAGTGCATTTGTGGATATGTGTGAAAACACCCTTCTCTTTGATGAAATGCCTCAGCGGTGGGGCTGGGAAAACTGGACAGCTGCATGCAAGAGAATGAAACTGGACTACTGCCTAACATCATACACAAAAGTAAGCTCAAAATGGATCAAAGACCTGAATGTAAGTCATGAAACCATAAAACTTAGAAGAAAACATAAGCAAGAATCTCTTGAACAAAAGTATGAACAATTTTTTCCTGGACACATCTCCTCAGCCAAGGGAAACAAAATAAAAAATGAACAAGTGGGACTACATCAAACTAAAAAGCTCTTGTACAGCAAAGGACACCCTCACCAGAACAAAAAAGGCATCCTACAGTATGGGAGAATATATTCATAAACCTTTATCCACTAACAGGTTAAAATCCAAAATATATAAGGAGCTAACATGCCTCAACAACAACAAAAAACCTGATTAAAAAATGGGCAGAGGACCTGAACAGACATTTCTCCAAAGAAGAAATACAGATGGCCAGTAGGCACATGAAAAAATGCTCCACATCACTAATCATCAGAGAAATGAAATCAAAACCACAATGAGATACCACCTCACACCAATCAGAATGGCCACTATCTAAAAGACAAGAAATAATAAGCATTGGTGTTGAAGACCGGAGAAATGGGAACCCTCCTACACTGTCGATGGGAATGTCAACTGGTGTGGCCAATATGAAAAGTAGTATGGGGGTTCCTCAAATACTAAAAATAGAAATACCATTTGATCCAGGAATTCCACTCCTAGGAATTTATCCAAAGAAAGCAAGATCCCTGATCTGAAAAGATAGATGCACCCCTATGTTTATTGCTGCACTATTTGCAATAGCCAAGATATGGAAGCAACCTAAGTGTCTATCAGTAGACAAAAGGATAAAGAAGATGTGGTACATATACACAATGCAGTATTATTCAGCCATAAAAAAAAATCCTGCCATTTGCAACAACATGGATGGATCCAGAGGGTATTCTGCCCAGTGAAAGGTCAGGCAGAGAAAGACAAATACGATATGATTTCACTTATTTGTGGAACATAAAAACAAAGCAAAACAGAATGAACAAAACAGCAGTAGACTCATAGACACTGAGAAGTGACTAGTGGTTACCAAGGGAAAGGGGTTGGGGTTGGGGTTGGGGAAGGGAGGGATGTTGAGGGGAATAAAGGGTCACAACAATTCTCAAGTACGACATAAGTTCACAGGGATAGTAGTGCAGCATGGAGAAATATACTCAGTGATTCTGTAACATCTTCCTATGTTGACAGATAGTGACTGGACTAGTTGGGGTGAGGATTTAATAATATGGGTAACTGTTGAACCACTGTGTTACTGCCTAACACAAAGTACACAAAGTAAACTTGAAACTAATATAAGATTATATATCAACTATACTTCAATTAAAAAATTAAAAATAAAATGCCTCAGTGAGCAACTAAAGGGGAAAAAAATCCTGAACTTACACTGTTTCAGTTTATGCTTTAGAATTTACTGCCACGAGGACCTGTTGTCTGGGATTTTCAGGTCTAAAGAGCTCCATTAGTGATTAGCATGCAAGTCCCCGAAGATGAGCTTAGAAGGAGGTGAAGCCACTTTCAAAGAGAAGGTGAAGTGGTGTGTTTATTTTGAAATCTCTGCACCTTTGTTCTCTGAAGGGCTGGTGTCTACGGCAGAATCTAAGAATTTTTGACAAACAAGACAACACCAGCACCAAAATGGGTTAACTGACCATCTACTATGGGATGTGCCACTATGGGTAAGATCTCCTTTTAATCAATGTAAATCTCATCTGACTGCTGCAATGGTGTTTTTAAAAAGTTGGTTTTGAGCAAATCATTCAGGAAAAAATGGAACTAAATTTATTGAGCATTTAGTATTAAGAGTGTTCATTATTTTATTTCATCCTCAGAGACACCCTACAAGGTATTAATTCATTTTTTCATTTGTGCCTCAACTGTCCTCAAATTCTAAGCCAAACACCTATTGTCTGCCAGGCATTGTGCTCCAAGCTGGGTAAGTCATGACACCTAAAAACAGTCCTGGACCTCATGATTTCCTCAGGAGGGAACAAATGTAAACTAATAATTGCACAGATTATTAATTATGACTGACCTACAAAAGATAGTTCCTTTGAGACCCGAGGACAGGTAAGAATTGTAGCCACATGAACATCATAAACTGATGGAGCATCATCTGTGAAGTCCCTGAGGAATGCTGGTGCTTGGGCTTTGAAGGACTGGGGAAAAGAAAAGAAAAAGGAGAGAAAGGAGAAGAATGACACAGTAAAGCATGTCTATAAAGAAAGAAATAGGAAAGAAAAAAGAAAGCCTCTGTCTGGTCTTTGTCCTGGGTTCCTGGGACAGAACTCCTGAAACCTTTGGTGTCTCCAAGCCGTCGGAATGTCTCTGTCACATGAGCCCGTGGGGTCCACGACTGGGCAGAAGGCTCTAGCCATGATGTCACCAAGGCAAAATGCCTGGGTCGTGACTTTGTCATTGTTGTGGGCAGTCTGCTGGGTGCTGATGGAGCTCTGGACAAATGGAACATTGCTCTCTGAGGAACAGCTGCCTACCAGCTCGCCTGAAACTGGAGATCACCGTCTTATCCACCAGCCTCCCACGAAAGAGTCAACACTTTGCTAAAACTGGCTTATAAAGAAGCAGACAGAGGTGTATATGCGGGAGTCTGGAGCCCGACCATCAGAAGGGAAATATATTCTGTACAGTGTCTACAAAGTTCTGTTTTTACACGGTGTGTTGGACAGGTTTGTACATGAGCTTTGAACAGGTGTCAGAATTTCTGGTCACAGTACCTGTAGGAGGTGGCGCTGGGGGACCTTTGTTGATAGTGCCCACGTTTGTCCACCGGGAGGCAAGGCCAGCCCTGGCCATGGCCCGCTGATAGTTATCATAGAGAGTCTTTCCATACTGCGGAGCGAACACAGAAGCAGCACAGTAATCCATTTATCCCAAGTTCTGCACTCAATTGCAGTACACATACTGGGGGTGGGGGGAGGAAGCACTTCTCCACCATTCTTTTTACTCCTTTCCGGAGACTTTTTTTTTTTACTGTAAGTATTTCGATTAAAAATCCACAAATTGTTTTTCATGTGAAAAGGATCCTCCAGCAGCAGTTAATATTTCATCTAGATGTTAGAGGAGAGCTTTAGCTATACAATCCTCATCATGTAAGTCTTTATATAATTGTACCAAAGATGACACCTCATGTTTCTTCATTACGCACTATACTTGCAAAGCTTTCCATGAGTAAATATCTGAGAAGTCGCATGCAAGAGTAGTCACTGGAGAGGCCCAAGTTTCTACCACTCTCCCCTGTTAAAAAAATCCAAAAGGCAAATGAAGAGATAATGTCTGTAGCAGTGACCCTTTACTGGCATTGATCCATAAGACTGGGTCAGCTGTCAATTAATGACTCCATAGCATCTTACCACACTGATGGACAGTGTCTGCAGTGGGATATGGGAGGGGACTTGATAATATGGGTGAATGTTGAAACCACAATGTTGCTCAAGTGAAACCTTCATAAGATTGTATATCAATGATAACTTAATAAAAAAAGGAGTGGGTCAGCTGTTCCACAGCAGCACAGTCAGAAACCGGTTAGCAAAGTCAGCAAGGGGTGGGTCCCTGTGCTCTCTCACCTTGGCGATCCTTATTCCAGTGACCCACTGGTTTAGAGTTCTTGCATCATCACAGCACAGATACTTGATATACTGGGACTCCTTCTGGATTTGGGGATGCTAGAAAAAAAATTATGTAAAGACCGTTTATAAAATCTTCACTTATTGGCACCTTTCAATACATTTGGAAAACACCAACAACGTATGCCATTTCCTCAGTGGCAAAAGTTACTGGTAGCAATTTTAAGATTAGGAAAAGGGGTATGCACTTGAAAAATGGGCTAAATTTTGAGAGGAATTAAGTCTGTGACATAATGTCATAAACACTTCATACTAGATTGTCAGTATTTTCATTTCTGCTTTTTTTACTTTTGAAAGCCTTCCCATCTATCCTGTCTCCATCCCCACAAAATATGAGTTATTTCTCCATTTACCAGATAAGAGAACATCCCTGATATCATTCTTAGGTCACAGAATTAATGCTTTTGTGACTCCCAGTCAGTCCTAGCGTTTTTTCTGCTACCAGGAATTCAGAGTTTTACTCTTTCTTAACTGTTGCCTTAATTCCCAACATACCTAGTGAGCAATTCTGGTTTCTGGATCATGGTCCATGAAGGAATATTTCTGTCTATTCTCAAGTGGCGATGGCTTGAGGTGCTGCACTAGGGGCCATCAGGCCTTCTAGGCACTCACAGTCCAAGAGTACAGTGAAATGGGCAGGCATGGTGGAGAAAGAGACACACAGGGCTCTGATCATATAGATCACCATTGCTCTCATCTTTCTGAATCCCCATTGCCCTTGAAGTTTCTGTTTTATGTCTGTTTCTCTGATGGACTCTGCTCTGTGAGGGTAGGAAGCACATCTGCCACTCACTGCTGAGGCCTTCACGTGTTTAGCCCATGGCCGGGGCATGGTCAGTATTCCAGTCCAGAGATAGAAATAGCAGTTAAAGGAAATAAACAAATGCAAGATTTCCTTTCCAGCCAGAAGTCTTGTGGCCATAAGGTGAGAGACAGGCAACCAAATCTAGGTTCTCAGATGTGTGCCGGTGCCATGCGAATTTTCATGGGTCCTTATAATTTTTAATGAGTCTGATGACACAGAAAAATAATTACCAACTATAACCACTGTGTGTGTGTGTGCACGCGCAAGTGTGTGAGACCTCTTCTTTTCCCTCCATTGCTCAGAGGAGTTCAGTAATCCCGCTAGGATGGGCACAGATGGGCGGCAGTGCTGAAAGTGGAAGGGAAGCCCGGAGAGCAGGAAGCCGTCTTCCATGGGGCAGAAAAGGAGCGAGGCTGTCCATTCCTCTTAGGGCGCCGTACAGACTGCCCACCTCACTTCTTCCAGCTGAATCATGGACCTTCTGTTAATGGCTATTTGCAAAGTTGATGTAGGCCGAGGGCGTTGTGCCTTTGACCTTCAGTTTGAATCTGAGAAGCAGCATCTGGACTCATCACCCTGCTGGTCTTTCTAATGACCCAGCCAGCAAGAGCGGGTGGTCTTACTGTCTTTGCGGGCAAAGACAAGACCCCTATAGCCTCCAAGAGCTTGATGAGAAGTAAATAATTTTTGGCTTTACAAATGAGAAAGCTGAGGCTGAGAGATTTCTACCCATTTTACCCCGTGGTCCACGGGAAGCTTGGGATCCCGTCACACTACCTAGAATATCTGTATTTATATTACATATATAAATGTTAACATATAAATAAATAAATACACACACACACACAAAGCCAAAATTCCAGAAAAAGGCAGAAACTATAAAGAATTCCTTCTTTTGGCCTTTGAGCCGATTAAAGAAGGTCTACCTTTATACTTTTATCTTATATAGACCATTCCCTTTATTTAGGTCCCCCAGCTCTCAGAACTTGCGTCCACATCACATAAAGTCAGTTCCTGTTCAGGAGGGACCACAAGTTCCCCTCCCCCAAAGGTGACAGAGACCTGAGTCCTCTGAACGTTGCCTGTAGTTTCCCACTCTGGCCGGTAGATGGCAGCAGACACTTCTGAAAGGCTGCTTGCACATTGCTCTGTCTTTGGAGAGACGCTTCCTCCTGAATTCTGAAGGTTAGATTTTATTTTTGCAATGTTACCCCAATAAGCATCCTTAAGATGGAAACTATCAGCTCAGACAATGTGGCCCAACAGCAAAACAGAATTTGGTACACTAATCACTGGAAGGTCATACTGGAGAAAAGTACACTAAACTGAGGACTTATTCCCTGGATGGGATGTGACATTCCTCAATTCCTACAGCACTGCCTCCCAACAATATAATTCACAGGCCAAACTGAAGTCCATGTCTTTCAGAGCCAGAAGTAGAGCTCCCTAAATGACAACAGCTCTCCCGTCCTCAAAGTCATGCAGGAGTGGCAAACATGGGTCTCTCCAGAAACGTTACTGTTCTTAGAAAGCAGCTGCTGGTTTTTTTTTTTTTTCCTGAGAATTTAAGATGTTGACATTGTTACCATGGGCTTGGTATATTAGAATTTTTTTGGTTTGCTTTTTAGTGCATGTCATGGGAGAGCCAGGTTCCCAGGAGCAGACTAAAAATCACACTCTGCGCCCTGTGAAATGCACAAAGCAACTGTCTGCACAGAGGCATTCACTTTAACACAGTGATACACTGTTTCTTAAGTATGTTATTCATCCAAATTGAGTACAATGGGGTCATTTCCTTAAACATAATGGTTTCTGAGCATAAAGCAGAGAGGCAAGAACTCTTGACCTTGAGTTTGAACAATGGCTCCTCTATGATGATGAGGTAGATGTACAGACCTTGGTTCATTCTCTCCAAAATAAGTGGGGTGAGTCTCACCAGCTTCCTAATACCACACTTGTACTACAAATGCATACAGTAGGAGAAAGCATCTGATGACCTCAATGGTCTGCTGCAATTCTCAGATTTTAGGGTTCTCAGATGAACTATGGTGGGCACAAGAGTCCTTTCTGGCTCCCGTGATAATGCAGAAATCCTCTAGGCTCCCAGGACACCACAGGGCAAGTCACCATGCTTATTCTCCAGTCCTGTCTTGGGACCTCATCAAGGGGTGTCCAACCTAACTGAGAAAACCTAATTGCAAAGGGTTTAAGGAAAAATGCTGGTTTGGTGTTCCTAGCCAGACTCCTCTGCAATTGGTGTGATTGTTTCTGACAATAAAAGGAGAGCTGCTCTTGTAGGACACACAGCAACTGCAGAACGTTACTGTTCACAGGGTTCTTACAGATGCTCTACCCTGAGCTAACCACGTGCTGCAGAAGGAATGAGGAAGTGGGCAGAGTGCCACAGGGAGAAGAGAGCAATCACATCCTGAATAAAAGGGCCAGTGTTCCACTAGGGTTGCTCCTGACCCTTGTTCATTCCTCTATCCATCAGGCCTGCTTTCTTCTTCACCTGAGCCCTCTCCCCACTGGGGGGCCCCCAACCCTCTCCTGAAGACTCAAGCATTGGGTATGAGAAGTTTGGATATTAGAAGTTTGGTTCCATACCATGGGTCTTGGCACTGCCATCCGGTGCAGCCCAGGGTAGCCTGTGTCCCAGGTCAGGTAACTCACAGTTCAAGGACCTAGTTCCAGACTTGTGAGTCAGCACAAGAAACTGAGTTCCAGCTCTGCTCACTGTGTCTAAATCCTTATCCTGGAAACTTTCAGGTCTGAGATCTTGTCTTTCTATCCCTGTTCTGGTCTCTGGTCCTAACCTATGATTTGGGCCCCTACTCCCTTCTGACAATTTTCATTATGTTTGTTCACTCTGAAAGGTATTTTTTCACTAGCTAAGTCCTGGCTGCTGGTGTTTAGAGTTAGGGCATACTGTAGCCCTCAGAGTGCAGAACTTGTCTGTGCTTAGGAAAAACAAAGCTTTCTGGGCCCCATCTTTAAACATTTTGATTCAGTGGGCCCAGGACCCTGTAACCTGTATTTCTAACAAGTCTCACCTGATTCTGATTCAGCCATTTGACTAACCAGCATTTCAGAGCCTCAGTTCAAAACATTTTCTCTACCTACAGATGTGGGCGATGCTTCAGAGATGGAGGGCATTGCAATGCCCAGCTCCTGGACTAACAGGGGGGGCCTTACTAGTATGGGTGCTTCTGAAATGATACAGTGGGTTCATGATAAGCTGCAATGATGTCCTTGACAAAAAATATGTTTACTACACACATAAATGTATTGCCCTTTACTTGTGGAAATAATGTAAACCTATAGCAAAGACTTTGAACCACCTCCTCAGGAGAAAGGGCTTTGCTGAGAAGCACATGCACCCGAGTCCAGCAGCATAGGTTTCTGGAAACACGATGGCAGGGGTCATCTGGCGGTGTGGGCAGCTGACCTACAAAGGAACCTGACAGGAACCCATCCTCAATGGGAAAGGAGGAACCCTGACTCTCAGAAAGGATTTCTGCATGCAGCCTTGCACCATGCCATGTGAAACTAGATAATCTGCTCTCTCTGGTGCAAGATGAGGGGCTGAGAAGGGCAAGGGATGTGTGGTGTCTGAGGCAGTGGCACACAGCCAGGAGAGCTGCGTAAGTTCCTTGAATCCATTTCTAGGAGTCAGTTGTTACATGTGGCAGATGCAAGCTACTTCTGCTCAGCCTTCCAATGCACGGTGCTACTGCAAACCTTGCCATACACCTTAAGGTACTACCTTTTGATAAGACACACCTTAAAAAGTTTCAAGACCCAGTAATGCTACTTTGGAAAATTTTTAAAAATTTTCTCTGTTCTAGGAAGTCATGTCACATCCTTAATTTCTAAAAAGTTCTTACAGTGGGCTAAGAGCCCATTAAATAAAGAGTACACTGAAAATTTTTCTCAGTTTTACAGGTAAAATTGTAAACCAAGTTGGTTGAAAATGTAGAGCTTTCATTTTCAATAGGGATGAAGAAGCCCAGATTCTCATTAAAGTTTTAGACTCAGAAAACAGGCCTTGGGGAAAGTGATACAAACTGGTAGAAATGTTTTCCCTTTTCCTATTCTGGTTTAAAATAAACATTTGTATTATGTTATATAATGATGGTTAACTGTATAATATTTAACAATTTTTTCTTAAAAGGGACTATTAACTCAAGTGGCTTATGAATTAAATCAAGAACTTCTTATGACATACCTTTAAAACAAAGCAGTAGTCAGTGGGGGCTTTATATTTCATTTTACACTGAATCCCATAGTAAACGTTGACATTTTCAAACTGTATGAAACATGCCAGATCACGAGATGTCTGAAAGAGAAGGGAAAAAATAACCTTAATTGAGTTGACAGTAATTTTTCAAGGTTGTTCTTGATGGCACAACTAAGGGTTACATTTTAGTAAAAAAAATACTGAATTTTAGGTAACCTACTTCAGCATCTACGATGGAGAGTTTTCTACAAGCCAAACCTGCATATTAAGAGGCAAAAGAGGACAGGTGAGGGAAGACAGCATGCAACAGGCCCAGAGACAGAGCGAAAGATGACATTGTTCTAGTACCTCAACACGGGCTCCCAGGTCAGAGCCGACTGAGTGACCTTGAAACACCATGACTGATGCAGCTAAGACAAGGTGTCTGACCACCTACTCAGAAATTCCATTTTGGCTTTGCGCACTCTTAAGCCCGTGATGGATTTCATGATTGGACATGAAAATAAAAAGGCTCCCTAAGGCTGAACAATAAGAGGTAAAATTGATGCTCAGTAAATTAGTACACATTTCATGCACTTCTTTCTGGAAAAAAAAGAAAAAGATTCCCTTCAGGCTCTCCCTTTAGTGCTAGTGGTGTTGCTATGGAAACAGAAACATCTCTTCCATGTGTAACATGGGCTGTGAGGACTGCAACCTCTAATCTGCATATTTGGTTACACTTCAGTTACAGATTTGATCTATTATTCTTTTTTCCACCCTCACATTCTATAATTCTTCACCTAATTAGTGATTAAAGAGCAAAGGGGAAATCACTACACCTCAGTGCACAATTATTCCTTTCCATGTAGTTGTCCACTTTTTTATTCTAAGTTATTTTTTATTGGATTTTCAAAGTTTAATTTTTTAATTGGAAAAATAAAACATTTCATCATAATTATAAAAACAATGTGTGTGTGTGTGTATATATATATATATATATATATGTACAATAAAATGAGAATCTTCCTTCATTACCTCTTTTTCTAACTCCTCTTTTCTCCAGAGGTACCACTGTTAATTAACCCCACTGTTAATAGTTTGGGGTATTCTTCCAAATGTTTTTGGGTAAACACATATGTATGTTTAGACATACCCACATACAGATACAATTTTTAAAATATGAAGGAGATTTTACTATAAATGCTGTCCATGAACTTGTTCTTTTTGTAAACATCATATCTTGGGGTCTTTCTATGTCAAAACTTAGGAACTGAAGGTTATTTCAATATTTTGCTACAGCAAAAAATATTGCATATGAGTAAACATTTCTGTGGGATTGCCAAGTGTATAGATATTCTATTTCATATTGGCATAGATTTTGCTAAGATGTTCCCCAATTTGGCTGTACCAATTTATATTCCAAGCTTCTGTGCACAAGAGTGCCCATTTATCTTACCCACTCCTGCTGAAATTTGGACATTAATATTGTTAATTTTATCAACCTCATGGGAGGGAATATTTCTCTGCTTAATTTACATTTATTTCCCTGATTACTGAGAATAAGTAGGAGCAGCAGCTGCTGCAGACCAAGAGTTAGCAAACAAGCCTCTTCTGAATTCCAGCAGAGATAGCAGACTTCTGCTTCGTGGGAGCAGACCTGGAGATTCACCACGACTTCACCTGCCTGGGAATGTGGGGGTCAAGCCTTCTTGGAAGAAGCCTGAAATTTGTAAATATGCCATCTGGTGGCACCTTGGATTCAGCAGCAAAGGCAAAATGTCTCAGCTGACCCCAGATACACTAGAGATACCCTAAAGCTTTTTAAAGGTAACAAAAGATGGAAATGCCCCCAAACCTCTAAAATAAGGTCTTAGAAAAAGTTAATAGAATGAGAGTTAAAATTACATTTCAAAGATGAGTGATTTACTATATGCTTGTAGATTTGAAGCCTAATCCAAAATCATCAAGAAGGTTAATTAATGTCTAAGATGCTCTGCTAAACCAGGCAGGCAACATGTATAGTATATCTCAGAGAACAATTTAAACATTCAGAGTGTAAGGGCTAAAATCTTAATGAAGATCTGTCAAGACTTTTACCTCTATGATTCCCGACAAAGGAAGTTTTCTATACTGACTACAGAACAAGAGAGTAAAGATGGGGTGAGGGTGGGGGGGATCCTCAGAAGTAGCTATGGAAAGTAACAAATTAATCTCTAGAAAAGTGCTTCTGTCCTAATTTTTGACACATGACTTCAAAACTTTTCAGCTTCAAAAGCGAACTGTGGAAGAATTCCAGAGGATTTCTGTAATTCTGTCCTAATGGGGTATTTGTATAAACTTTGCGGTAACATGAATCTCAGAGAAAGAGTATATTCAAATCACCACCTGAGGATTTCTTTAGTTCTACTTTCAAAAAATGCTTTTTTGCTAAAGTGCTTTTTTTTTTTACTTCTGACCTTAGTCTTTCCTTTGGGTACATAATAAATTCCAGAAGCCCGTAAAAGAAAATAGCGCCTTTTCCACGATTTCTTTCCATCTTCTTTCAAATAAAGAGCTCCTTCCAACTCTGGCACAATGATGGATGTTCCACAGAAACTTTCCTAGAAAATTGAGATTCCAGTGATATAAAACACAGGAAAGAAAAAAACACACACTTCTGTTCATATTTAAGCAAACTGTGGCAAACTAGCCTTTAAGCTAAAAGTCATTTTGTCTACAACTCAGATTGAATGCATGTGCTCACACTGCAGGCTGTTTGCTGTAAGGAAGAATGTGCAGGGGTTGAGCCTCAGCTCCTGAGTCCGCCTTCACAGCTTCTCCTCCACTTAGCTTTGTGACCCTGGGCAAGTTATTAAACCTCAGCTCCTCTACTTGGAAATGGAGCACGAACAGCCCAACTTCATAAGGAAGGTTGTGAGTGCAATCTTGGTATGTTGTAAAAATAAGCATGAAAGAAAGGCTATTACTGTTAATATAAGTGGTAAATAGAAAATACATTACTTTTCTGTAAGTAAAAAAAATTACTATTTCACTGCTAGCAAATAGAAAAATTAGAATATATAATTCTGTACACAATCTATGTAAGTTAATTTATTCTTGGGAGAGTTTTCTTATCAACTAATGAAGAAGATAAATTATTCATACTATAATCAAAAGAGGAGAGACAAAGTACATCTGCTAGGTGTAGATTTTTGAATGTCAAAACTTGCCTAGGCTTATATAATTCTCAATCATTTCTTTTAAAAAGCAATGCATATTATTCTATCTTCCAGTTCAAATACTCAAACTTTTATTTTTTGTAAGTCTCGATCTTCTTTCATTCCATGTCATCAATGTAGAATAAGTTTTAATTCTGCATCCTTCAACTAAATGTATATGTAGTTGAGCTGGGATACATTTTTGCTCACATTTGCCTTGGTGTCCTTCCAATTTATCTAGTATTAGTTGCCTTGTCAATGATCTCTTAAATTCAGTTGGATTTTTGGCCCAAATTAGAAAGCAGGATAATGCTGATTTTTTCATAGCATAGCATGCTTTGTATTTTCTTCAACACCCAGCTTTTAATATGCTGCTGAAGTCTTATACCAAGAACTACTCAGGCAATTGTATAAATCAAGGTATAACAGGCTCCCGGTGTACAGACAGCTGATATGTAAGCACTGATTAAAAGCAAATGGCTGTGGTGGGAGTCCACCCTTCCCAGTTTGTCAGTCTCCACCACTGCTTGGCCTGCTCTGCACTGCCTGCTGCCGAGGATGCCTGGTGCCTTCCCTCCCTCAGCGCAACCTGGGGTCTGTTTGGTAAATGCAGAGAGAATGTCCCCATTCCCACCTCTGGGCCTCCCTGGCAAATGCCCACTGTACTCCTGGCCCCGGGAACCAGAGCTAGTAACATGTTTTCATGAACCTTGGAGGGCAGCAAGAGTGCAGGGCAGGGGCAGGCGAGAGGGCAGCCTGTGCGGGGTGCTGGGCAGGCCTTGGTGAACGGGCGAGGGTGCTCTTCAGCACCAAGAGGGAATGAGGGCCCACGTATCACCAGGTCTTTTGGGTTTTCAAATATGCCCCACATCTAGGAACTCAAGAAAAGGTCACCATATAGTCGGGGGTCAAAGAAAACCTGTCTAGGGCTCCAGCATGCCCATCTGTGACCTGTGACTTGTTACTAATCTGCATTATGTGCTGGGAACAGAGCCCCGGTTGTTAGGAGAGTTATGTGAAAAGTAAATTAGGGGTTTCAAAAATCAACTGCCAAATGAACTCTGGAAACCCACCACTGTGGTGGTGATCATAAGCATTTGTACAGGCATTGACACACTGCTTCTTCTAGCTCCTTGGATTCCTGTAATGATTCAATATGATTCAGGAAACCAAGGGTCTTGCACTTGCCCAGTAACCCACGAGTCTCCAGGGGCAGACCCATACCTTCTACCATGTCTCTAACTCCAATTCTAATGCTTCCCACCACACCTGGCTGCTGGAGAGCACCCTAGAATTCACTGTAAAGAAGTTTTGGAAATCCTTATGTCTTGCTTCTTAAATAACGAAATCTATGGAATGTTAGGAGATGAGTTTTATGGCGATTCCTAAGTCTTTTAGTCAAGGATCACTAATACAACTTCATGAAGCATAACTATATTTGTTGAAAGCCATACTTTTTAACAATTGACTCAAAGAACCAGCTTAATTACCTAAATAGCTAGTAGTAATTTGATTTTCAAACCCTAAGTGAGAATTTCAGCATGTCTCACAATCTCTCACTGTTCTGAGAAGCAAATAACTTAAAAATAGATACAGGGAACATCCTCATTTCTTTTACTCTGCAAAATTAAACTTACCTCAAGTAAGCATTCCTTGTTCTTAGCATTCATTTTTTCACTTGGTTCCTTGCTTTCTTTTTTTCCTTTGCTATCCAAGTAAAAATTCTAAATAAAGTGTTAAAAGATAAGATCAGTAAGTGTTCACCACCATGTTAGGTACTGCAAAGAACTTGTGGACTTGCTGGAGAGAGGACACAAACCTGCATGAAATTACCTGGGAACCACTGCATATGGTAACTGTCCACCAAGTGCTCACCACCCAAGACTGAGGCTGAAGTAAGACCCCTCTTTTTCCCATAGTGCCCAGTCAATGAGGAAACAATATAAGGTAGAAAACCCTACCCAGGATACAAGGTCGTTTAGCTGTTAAATTCCACGGCCTAGAACACATGGCCAGGGCTGGAAGATGGGGAACACCAATGCGCTGGCAAGAGCCTAGGGTCAGGGGACAGCCCAGCCCAGGCTCTAAAAGGCAAGTTATTAAACCTCAGCTCCTCTACTTGGAAATGGAGCACGAACAGCCCAACTTCATAAGGAAGGTTGTGAGTGCAATCTTGATATGTTGTAAAAATAAGCATGAAAGAAAGGCTCTGGCAGCTGGATGCCATGTAGCATCCCAAGGACCTGTGGAGAGAGATTCTGGCTTATCAAGAGAAGCTTGACATCTGGGTTTTTGTAAATGTTTTTTGCATTTTCATGAAAACAAAAGCACAGTGCAGCACCATCACTTAGAAAGAAAAAAAAGTTATTCTGAAGCTGAGGAAGTGAGAGGAATCTTAGAGAAAGACACAGCTGCAGATCCAGCCCCTTTAGGATAGCCTCATAAAATGAGCACTTCACAGTTTAGAAAGGCATTCAAGCCATGCCCCCGGTCACTCACTTTTTTTTTTATTGTTGTAAATATACATAACAGAATTTCCCTTTTTGATCACTGTTAAGGGTATAGTTCGGAGCATGAAGTGCTTCCACACTGTAGTGCCAAACTGACAACTCTGTGTCGTGATTGGCCCTTGCAGTTTTAAAAAATTGCAAGTAGTCACCAACACAAAGTAAATCTGAGCTGGAGATCAGGGAGGGCAGTCCTTGGAGGGACTGATGGCCCTTGGTTCAGAACGTCACCTGTCACCTGTCAGCCAGCTCAGTTTGGGCTGCTCTGTAGCAAGCAGTCGAACTCAGAAGCTAATTCATTACACGTTGCAGATGGAAACTGGACAATCTGAGCTGAACCATAAGGGAACTTTAAAATGGGAAATGAGACTTTCAGTCCCAGATTGCTCTCCTTTCCCACAACTTCTGAAAATGCAAGATGTGAAGGCAGCTGGATAGGAAGATAACAGAGCAGATATGTTACTTTTTAAATCTCACCTTCTTGGAATAAAGAGTAAATCAAGCAGTTATCAGCCCATTATATGTATTTGTGAGTACCCTTTACATGCAAAGTATCTCTGTTAAGAGTGTTTCTATCACATTGAGAAGATACATAAAAACAGATGGCTAAAGATCTATAGATGGGGAAACTATAGAAGACAATGCATAAATTCTAAAGGGGCCAAGTTCTGTAGATTTTCAGAGAGGTAGAAATCACTGTGAGCTGAGATGGTTGAGGTCAAAGTTTGAATGGGGTCTTGAAAGATGTTCAGTATACAGATAGGGAGAAGACATAAGGAGGGCATTCCAGGCGGAAGGAGGCGCATAAGCACGGGCACAGAGGTGGTTAAATGTTGGGTGTCCTCAGGCCACTGATGAACAGCCAGTCTGGCTAGAGCCGCACACCCAAGGCACATCAGAACGCCCAGCTCTCCCCTTCCTCCCGGGTCGATACACCGGGGCGCAGCGCCCGCCCCTAGATGGGCGGAGCTCACTTCCTCGCCCCTTGTGTTGGGCTTGGCCACGTGACTGGCTCCGGACAGCGGAACGGGTGGCAGGGACACTGCCCCAACGCTGAGCAGAGGCCGGAGGGGTGGTGGCACTGTGCGTCCATCCATCCCCCTGCACCCTTGCCCTTCCCCCTGGGGAGAATGTGTCACAGGTCACTGCTAGTCCGGTACTAAGAGACACGTGGAGCTACCGAATCTCCTCACATCCTGGAGCCAAGGACAGCTGACCTGCAGCCCAGGTGAGGGGAAATGTCATGGCTGTCAGCCACTGGAGTCTGAGGTCGTTTCTGTGCATCGAACACTAACGCATATCCACACCCACACTGGCTCCTGAGAGGCTCCCAGGGCTCTGACGTCAAAGTCGGGCTTGCCTTTGCAGCAGTCGCCCAGACTGGAGATCACAGATGTGATTACCCTGTGCCTTTCCTTCACGAGCCTGGTCCTGGACGGTAAGAGATGCATCTGGGTGGGGGGGAGGGTGGAGTGGAAGGGAGGGAAGAGACCACGAGGTAATTACTCTCCTGGTTTTTCATACATGGTTCCTGCCTCTTGGGAGCGAAGCTAATACAATTCTGACCCTTCCACACGTGATGTGCTTCTCTCTGCTCCTCATTGTGCACCAGCGGTAAACCACCACCACCGCCAAATTTTGGTTAAGAAACAGAACAAATGGTGGGATGAAAACTGCCTAAAATATCAGTAGTGATTATTGTTGGAATGTGGGATTATGGATGACTTAAATTTCCTTTATTTTTCAACTTTAAATAAAACCAACAGATATTGGTTTTTGGAGGCAGAAAAATGAAAGAGGTTATTGAAAGAAAAAGCAATTAGGTAAGCAAGCAAGCTCATATTCATAGATCTTACCAATACCTCCTTTGAAAAAGAGATTCTTTAGGATTCTAGCAAGAAGAATGGTTAATGTTAATACCAGAGGGTATTTTTATCCTGCTAACTAATCAGGGGGTGGGTGGAAAAAAGACTATTTGTTCATCACATTAAGAGATGTTCCCTCCCCCCAGTTTTTACTTTTTATGCTTAATTAATATCAATATAACTTTAAATGTTTTTTTAATGTCTTTATATTGTTTTAACCAGCTGTGTAATTTTTAAACACTTAAGTGCCTTATGATGACTGGATATAAGAATTTATATAGCAATTTATAAACATAACCTGTTTTCTGCGTGCTCAGTCTCCAGTAGTGGCTCAGAAGGACTACCGATAGTCTTGGATCTTCACTGAGGTTCCACAGTCAGGCTCAGGCATGGTCCCTGCCTCTTGGGCGTGAAGCTTAAACAATGACTGTCCCAAAGAGCTCCCAGCAACCAGTAGGAGAATTCATTACTCTTATTTTTCCTCATTTTAAATTGGGGTGATCTACCTCCCAAAATAGAGACCAGTCATCCCGGTGGAATTCCTTCTTAATTAAGCACCTTTGGGCCCATGAATTTGCAGAACTGGTTTCTCTCCGTAAATGCATTATAGATGACTTTATTACAGGTCAACACTGAATTTCGGGTGGGATCGCAGAAGTTTGCTTTTAACATAACTTCACAGTGCAGCAAGTGGTTTTCTGCTGGGTTTGATCCTGTGAGGTGGGAAGGGCAGTGGTATCACCAAGCAAATGCAGAAGCTGAAATTAAGTGCTGCCAGAAAGCCTGCCAAGGCCACAGAGTCAGCAAGTGACACCTGGGAGCCAGGTGAGCAAGGTCACTTTTCCAGGCAATACAGAAGACGGATGCCTTCTATTTGTGGCTACAGAAGCCATTTAGTTCCCTAAATCCTTACTTACTGCTGTCACTGGTATTTGAGCTCAAAACCTCTTTTTCCACTATTTTATGGCTTCTTCCCTAGATATATCCCCAGAAATAAGTAATTTGTAAAGGGCTCCTGTTACATATGAAAGATTTCAATTCTGGGATTTCGAGCATAAAATTGTACATAATTTTGTGCAGTTCACTGATTTTTCAGAACTGATACTATGGGCCAAATAAGCTCTTTCTCAACCAAACTGCAAACACTAATCCATGGGATCTATGTCTGCAGACCTATGAGAACATGCATCCTTGTTTACTAAGGACACAGAAGATGCCCTTTACTACATATAACAAGGTGACTGTTAGGCAGCCCTTGGTTTGGTTCTCCAGGGACAGTGGCCTGGACCAGGCCATTGCATGATATAGAGACTGCAGAATAATGAATTTGGACTTTCCTGATCAGGGCCTTTTGGAATCAGTCTCTTCACTGTGGGAAACTAAGCCAGTTTAGTAACTTCTGAGTCAACCCCATTTGTGTGGTACTGTATTGATAGTTGTATTCAATTAGTCTTGCTGAGGACTTTCACGGTCACTAAGTCTCACCAATGTTGTCTGGCATTCCTATAGTCTAGAGAGCTCTGAACAGAACAATCAACCTATGGAAATTGCTTATCAGTGTTCTCAATCACAGTCTTAAGATCATTAAGGTCAACCTTACTGTCAAGCAAAGGCCTCCTTTCTATCTTTGATCTCAGTGTTCTCCTCTGTAAAGGTGGAATAGTACATATCACTCTTAATCCTCATAGGTGTAAACATTAAAGATAATATATGCAAGGCTTGTGGCCTAGCATATAGTAGGTATTAAGTAAATAGTTTCTGGCAATTTCCCTCTTTCCCTGGATCATCAGTTTATTCCCTCTGCATTTGGTAACAAGTAGCTTTTGTTACAAACTTCCATGAAAATAAATTCTGTTGTTTAACACCTTAAAAATTGAGAAACAACAAAACTTCATATAAGTCAGTCCCTGTCACTATCCTTATCTCTAGAAATTTCACTTTGCAATCAGAGAGGCAAGCCTCTTAATCCAAATAAAGTTTTGGGGGATAATTGGAACAGTGGCAAAAATCCAGTCAATTCCTTTCCCCTTTTGCAAATAAATGCCTTAGACTCTCAGAATAGGTCAGATGGGAATCTCAAGAATGGAAAGATTTTCACTATTTCATGAGAAGAGGGAATCAACTCAAGGAAAAGTTTAGGAAAGTCTCTAATCACATTTATAGATTAAATATTGCCCATTATCCAGAATAATTAATATCCATATTATCCAGAAGAATTCATCAGGAGGATTTCTGCATCCCCCTAATGTAGAGCAGCTTGCAGTTAGACCAAAGCCCCACAATAAATTAGAAAAGCTGGATTAAAAAAAAAAGACATGTTTTGGAGGGCTGCAGAGGCATCCAGGCCTCAAGGGGCCATGATCCAAGAGGAAAAGGTGTGTGGAAAATGGGAGAGCCACGCTTCCCTTCAGGGAATTTGTTGATTCTTAGCCCAAGGTGAGAGGCTGAGCACTAGCGCAGAAGCCTTGAATAGGCACTTCAGAAAGTGGATATTCACACAGATAATAAACATTTGAAAAGGTAGTCAAGTCATTGGCAATAGGAAAATTCAACTTAAAACCACAGAAGATACCACTAATAGCTAAAGTTAAAAAAAAGAATGGCAACATCAGGGACTGAAGAATCTGGAGCAATAGGAATTGTCATACAAATGCTCATGGGAGGGCCAGTCACAGAATCCCTTGGAAAACTGCTTGACAGGATCTCCTAAAGCTAACTGGGTCCATAACCTATGATGTAGCGATTGCCCTCATAGGTAATACAGACAACAGAAAAGTCTACATAGGTTCAACAAAAGACATGTGCAAGAATGTTCCCAATGGCAATACTTGTTAAAGCCCCAAACAAGAAAACAATTAAATATCCATGGATAATATAACAGATAAACATATTTTAGTATAGTCACACACAGAATAGTAGATGGCAGAGAAAAAGAACATACTACTGCTCAATGCAACAGCATGAATGAAAACTGGGTGAAAGTGCTAAACCCAAAAGAGTTGTGTGATATGATCTCAGTTTATATCAAGTTCAAAAATAGTAGATACTAAAGCCATAGAAGTCAGAACCATGATCACCTTTCCAGTGGGGACCAATGACTGGGAAGAGGCAGGAAGGAACCCGCTGGAAAACTGTTAATAACTTGATGTGGGTGGTGGCTAAATGGGGGCACACTTTGTAAAATGCATAGTGTGGTTATGTTTTGCACTAATTCATCAGACACCATGGTGAGCTGCATTTATCCACTAATACCCAGTTTCTTCCTCCTCTTCTTAGTTATATGGTACTATAACCATATTACACAATTCCTGGGCACCATTTATAGACTCAATATGGAAGATGCTTCATGGATGAGTGTGCAGAGTGGTGGCTCTGCATATAACTCCAATTTTAGCTGTGCAAGTGGTTGTTCAGATGGAAACTGCATTTCTCAGCTTCTCTTGTAGCTCAGTATCACCATATAACTAAATTCTGGCCAGTGGGATGGAAGCAGCAGTAAAGTGCCATTTCCAGGTCTTTCCAAAAAGAAATCTGGTTCTGTATACTCTTCTTGCTCTTCTCTCCCATCTTAAGGACAGGAAAATGGCCAAGTGGAAAAGCTGCCTTGGCCCCAGAGAAGGAAGCCATCCTCCTAGAGCTACCACCAGTGTCTCACTGGTTTGTGAGAGAGAATAATCTTCTAGTTAGTTGGAGCCACTGATGTAGCACATCTCTTTGTTATAGCAGCTTAGATGGTACCCTAACTCATGAAGGCATGGTATTGAAGTTACTTATGGTCTGAAAACTTTGTACTTTCACTGTTTGGTATTTGTCACAAATAATAACATTAATTGCTTCATTGTCAGTCAGCCACCATAAAACCTATAGAAGGCTCTAAAGAAAACCCCAGTATGGGGGAAAGCACACTTTCTTGTATGAAAAGTGCTCTATCTAGAATGTCTTTCTAATTCTGCCCCTAGTGATATATGACTTGCTTTTTTCAACCTGTAAAATATAAAGGTGTGTGGTTCTGCTCAAGGATCTCATCCATGTCTAACATTCTTTAATTTCCTAAAAAGACTTACTGACCCGCATGCAATTACAGTTGGCTAGAGTCAGTAGTGGAAAAGGCCTATTCTTCTGTGACATCTTTGTGCACGTGACCAGAAGGAAGCTTTTGCAAATATGGATAACAGTGCTTCTTCTTATGAAGACTGTTTGTAGAACAAAATCACCATAAATTACACATTTTCCAGGTGCCCCTTTTAGCTATGCCAGCATCATAAGCCCCAAATATGAACAACAAAGACTATCCTAAAAATAAGAAAAGCTAATGACTCAGTGCACCCAGGTATACTGAATTAAGGTAGCCGAACAGAAGTCAGAACAGAAGAAGAGGATCAGTCAACAGGTAAGTGTGTTTTGGGTGCTTCATCAAAAGAAACACAATGAATTCTTTGCTTTCTGGATCCTTCAAGAGACTTTTAGTTTATATATGGCCTGAGTTGAGTTTGTATTTATTTGCAAGGAATACATTTGTGATATTTTATGAGATAATGAATGATGTGGTTAGTACACAGGTGGCATTAACACAATCCTCCACACTTTATATGATTTAACAATATACAAGTCATCCTACCTGGGGGTTTTTAAATACAGCATATTTTTCCTCTTTCTCCAAAAATAACACTTTATTTTCCGTGTCTCTTGTCCAATCTGATAAGACTTCAACAACATTTTCATGGTCCTCAAAAAACCTTTCTGATGAAACAAGAAAAAGCATTCTTTCAAACCCAAACCATCAGGGTTTCCAAGAGAAAAATAAGCTAGAATTCAGTTAAACACAGTGCTTCATACATCTCTTTGGTTTTTAGGAATTCCTAATCTTACACAATGTGTCACATTGTAACATCCCTATTTACGCTAATTTTGATGTTAGGCTTTCAACTTATTTTCCATGGAACACATGGCATGTGAACCTATAGTACAGTGATAATGGTCAACCTCTGCACTTCTGTCATATTTGCTTTTTTGACTTGAAATAGTCCCACAGAGGTACACATCCTATCTGTAGGGAGGCCAATCAGGCAATAATTAGGTAAACACCTTTGAATGAGATTGTGAGGTATGTGGTGAGTGCTCTAAAATCTCAAAAACTCTAAAGCTCTAAAATCAGTGTATGACCATCTGAATCAAACCTAAACATATAGGAAGGCTTTCATTTCTCTATTTGACTCAGAGAACTGAAGCAAACTTCAAGAGCTAATTTCAGTGTAGATCATTTCCTCCAGAAAAAGGTTTCACTGCCAGCTTCTAGAATAGGCAATTCTTTATCTACCCAAGCTGTCCTGCGAGATGATTGTTCTGTGAATGATATAATGAATGGCAAGTAACAGAGTATTTCTTTAACTGCTTTTCTTTTTTTAAATCCATCAATTTCTACCAACTGTCCTTTGCTTTTCAGGGCTGAGCCTCTTCAACCAAAGTATCAAATGTTAGGTGAGTGGGAGAGAAGGGGGGTGAACATTGAGAGGAGGCAGAGTTATACTGTAGCTTAAAGCAGCAAACTCTGAAGAGATATTAGGCCTTCCCACAATCCACTCAGCTTACGAAGCACGCAATAAAATGCATCGTCCTGTCACTTTCTTTCCCTTATGCGTTCCCTAGAGAAATGGCGGTAATAATGTGTATGGTATTCCCTAAGGTCTGGCCACCTGCTACCACCTAAGTCTCTTCACCACAGAGAATTGAAGAGGCAAGCCCTGAAACTGACATCAAGGAAGTGACGTATGGGAAATCCTGCTAGCCTGGAACCAAACTCTTCTTCATAATAGATCCAAACCCATAATAAATCAAACGCACAGGTTTTTAGAGCAAGCCTATTGCTGGGGATGGGACTTACCGATTTGCAGTTCTGAGTATATTTCATAAAGACACCAGTCTACATTGCAGTCACAATGGGTTTTCTCAAAAAGGTTGTCTAAGACATCTCGGGCCAACTGCCGCTCATCCACCATCAATGACTTCGTGCTGTTGTCATTCATGTGCACCTTGACGACAAGCTGCAGATAAAGGCACAGAGCAGCCAGTGAATTTCAGCAGCTGGAGAGGGCCATAAAGATTAAGGTTTCAAAGCTGCTGCTGTTTCTGTGAATTTAAGTAAGAATGTGTCCCACGAACTCACTCAGTATGAACTTACTCATATGTTGAAGACTTGCTTAAGGTGCTAGGAATATAGAGGTACAGAAGCCAATTTATAAAAACAGAAAAACACAGTAAACAAACTCCTTGCATAGCCTTCAGAGAGAGACTCTGCATTCTAGTCAAGGACACAGAAAACAGAACCGAAGAAGTGCTGACTTCCTGGCTTTCCTGACATTTTTCCGTTCCTTGTTCAGGTTCATCCTGGAATCCAGAAGCATTGCTTGATGGAAAGCCATGCCCCTATCTTTATACTAAATTCTTCTCTTTTGCTTAGCTGGAGTTGAGTCCCATTTCATGCAACCCAAGAGTTCTGAGACACAGTCAGGTAAGAACACGTTGTTAATCTACAATTATTCTACAATTCTTTGGCAGTCAGGGGCGCACTGTGACAAAGCGTCACTGATGGGTCTTGTTGAGAGGCAGCTTTTGTCACAGAAGAACATGTTTGAGATTAGAGGTACATTCAATGAAATAAATGTTGACAGAGGAACAAGTTACTGTGGAGGCAGGCAGGCCAATCAGTGGCCAAGTTTACTTTTCAGCCCATTAAAAAATTCTACCACACCGAGTTCACAGCCAAATTGCTAGTTACCTCATTCTAAACCTGGAGAGTTTGGTGGCAGCAGAGTTTACTCACCTTCAGTAAGAACAAAGGGTTTCCCTGGCTTTTCCCAGGCAGCTTGTCACAGTTACTAACACTTCTTACTGATCCCTAAAGAGATCATGATTCTGATGCAATACAACAAACTTAATTCATGAAGTAACACAGCCAGGGTTTGGATTTTCTTTGACACCTGTGTATTTGTAGTATATTTTCAAGAACAATAGCTGTTACTTATGAATGCTATTGGTTATAATGGGGTTATAATACCAGTCTTCACAAGCAACAGTGGAAATGTGCCCACTAAGCCCGTTTAATACACAAATCTCTTTAAGAGAAGATTTCCTACAACTTCTGGGAAGACCTGTATTCTTATTTTATTATTTACCAAGATAAGTGGTCCCACCAAATGAATTGCGAACTAGCTTGACTTAGAGTCCATTATGTTAGGGCCTATCTTTGAATGCAAGGTAGGAAGCAGGGGCTGCCTTACCCTTTCCAGACAAATCACTGCCAGCCTGCGGTACCCGCAAGAGGCCACACTTCACCAGCAGCAAGTTCCTGGAGATACCATCAGCCCAACCCTCATGACACTCTTGCTTTTATTTCTATTCTAACTTGGAAAGACAAGTGTGAGGCAGCTAAAGACAGGTTGCTCTGGTTATTCACAAATGAGGCAGTATTATTAAAAAAGATGGAGTGGAGAGAGAGACCATACCATTGGTAAGGGATTTCTTCCTCTCCAAAAGTTTGGGTGAGGGTCTGAGCAGCTGAGAAACCGCTCCTCCCTCCTGCCTCACTTCTGATCTGATCTTAAAATATACTGCAGTGAATGGCATGAGGACTGCAGTTCCTGTGGCCCGTTAGGCGGAGTTCCTGTAGCACTCAAGGGGGTGGGTGGCCATAATCTGGGTGAGGAGCAGGCAAGGACCCTGAGCTGAAGCGCTCATGGGCTGCTTTCTCTTCCCCTGACACACGAGAGTTAGAACGCAGACATCTGGGCAACAGAAGTGCATCTCCCCCTCATGGGAAAATTCAAATTAGAACTTTATTCCAGGCTTGTCTGAAGATTACTTTTCCCTTGAAAATCTTTAACCCAGAAACCTCTAATCTGATAGTTTCTTTCTTTTTCATATGTTTGTCTTCTGAGTAGCTTACATCATGGGCTCAAGTACCACAGTGCCAAAGATATATTCATCTGACCTGAGAAATGAGGCATGGAAGGTTGCAGGGAAAAAAAACAGAAATTCCCCAAATAGCAGTCTTTGCTATAATTTATTTTCTGTGGAAGGCACACTGGCTGCTCTCTGCTGAGAATTATTGCTATAAAGTAGCTGTATGTCCCTAAGAAACACTAGCAATGATAGGGCTTAGGAGATTTAATCTTCCTGATGGAAAAAGTGATGTTTGATCACATTTCATTCTGGCTTAGGATTTCTTGAGAAAATAAAACATATGTTGGTGTTTTCTTTTGTTTTTATATGTAGAAAAAAACTAAGCCATCTAATTGGACAATGATGAGAGGTATTTTATTCTTTTTCTGGCAGAAATTGCAAATTAAATTTAATCCAAATGTAGTTATGATGCCAACAATTATAAAACTTAGAAAATAAGGAAGCCAAGAGAAGGCTTGCCAAGAGGACTTTTGGCAAGAAGAAATCATGTTTACTATTCTTCACAGATTCCATCACTTTTGCAAGCTGTACAGTAACTCTACTAACATATAACACCACTAAATCAGTTATGTGATTTAGCAAGCTAAGTACGTTTCATATCTACAGTACATGACACAGGGTAAAATGATTCAAGAATGAAAAAAAGGTCCCCTTTCTAATCCATTACAGTAAAGATTTTATAGTTTTTGTAATTTCTTCTTTTTCTTTTGCCAATTGTTAAATACAAGATTCCAGCCCTAAATCATTACAATATATATATATTTGCCTCTATGATAAAATTTAAAAAGGGAATTATTCTCTTGTGTCACTGAGCTTTAAAACAAAAAAGTTAATGAGTGAGTCCAATTCTGGTTCCAGTTCCAAAAGCTTTGTACCTCAAGCTGTGCACATTATTTGTAATCCAAAATGATGTCAACACCCCACAAGATACATGAGGGCAAAGTACTTCAGATAGACTTGACTTCCATCCTTTAAAAAACATGGCATAGATTATGTATGAGGACATTAATGTACAAGCGTGTCTCAGCTATTTTCTTAGTGATCTATGCCCCCAGACTTTTGCTTTAAGAAATACATTTGCAGGGTCTGAAACCAGAACAAATACACACTGTGGCTTCTTGGTTTTCTTCCCTTTCACACTGATCAGAGTGGCTTCTGTTTCACATCTTTGCTGAATCAAGGCAGGTTGTGCTCTGTGTTTGCGGTTCCAGTTCACCTCCTTAAATTAAGGCAAGGTTCCCGGGCTTCCTGATAGACATCAGGGAGTAACTGCTAGCTCCCTGCCCTGTTAACCTCCTGCTGAAGCAAAGACTGAGTGTGCTAGTTGTTCTGCCTTCTTAATCTAACAATAAACTTCTCTTTTTACTTCCTCCCTGAAAAAATTTATTCAACATGGTCCCCATTTTATAAATAATCCAGTGGTCTAAAATAGCTTCATTATGAATTTTATTTTTTCCCATTTTCTTTTGTCTTTTTCTCCCCAAGGTACTTGGTGACTCAGTCCAGCCTCACCTGCCATCCATCTGTAACACGACCATAACATTTCTCTCCAGCACAGCACTGTGTGTGCTGCGGCATGCCACCCTGCTCTCATCCCTCCCCTAACATCCATTTTCCACACAACAGCCAGTGTGCACTTTAAAAACCGTATATCATCCCCCATCAAAAACCCTTCAATGACTTCCCCTTGCCTTTATAACATACTCCAAAGTCCTCAGGCCTGTGAGACCTTGTAGCCTGGCCTGCCTCTGACCTCAACCCCTCCCTTTTCCTGTTACCCAACAGCTCTCTGAGCAGTGGCCACATGACCTCTGCCTGAACATGGCCCTGCCACACCCACGGGGGTGGGGTCTGGCTTCTTCTCGCCACTTTGGTCTTTGCTCAAGAGCTGTGGCCTCAGAGAGGCCTCCCTGGCCACTAGGTCAATCTTAGAGTCAGACTCTATCATTTCTTCCTGCCTAATTTTCTACACAACTTAACTTCCCATCTAGAATCAAACTGTACACCAGCAGTGACTTCACTCCTGGCACCTGCTCTGTGAGATGGGAGCATCAGAGAGGAAAACACAAACATTTCTGGAGGAGCTTCCATGGGGGTAAGGAGGGGATGCAGGCCATAAATAAGGGGAACTAGTGAGGTGGCTGGCATGTTGGACAATGATAAGCACTGAGGAGATGAAGAAAGTTGGGGGAGGAAGGAGAACTGGGTGCAGTGTGCAGTGTCAGGGAAGGCCTCACTGAGAGATGACAGGATAGGCAAAGCAAGTGTAAAGGGCCTGGGGCAGGGTACACCCAAGCATTGGAGGAGCAGCGGTGAGACCAGCCAGCTAGAATGGGGTGAGTGCTGGGAGCCAGCGGGTAGTTTGTGAGGACTTGGGCTTTTCCGGGTGAGGTTGGACACCATGGGAGGCTTGGAAGCAGAGGAGGGACAAAGGAGAGGTTGGGGCCCAGAGAGCAGAGGCTGGTCTTAGAAACATGGTGGTTCATCCACAGAAGCAGGAAAGACTACAGACTATATGCCACAGGTCCAGGCAGGCAGGTAGTGTGTTGGGAGCTGATTGCTTCTGTTTTCCCAGTGCAATGGGCAGTGACATCATGAGCTGAGGGAAGGTGGGAGCGGAAAGAGGTACTGGAAATTTTAACAGAGGGGACATGGTAGAAAGTTTTCTAGATTAGTGGGAGAGTGCATGGGCTGTTCAGGAAGCTGGGGCAGTACTGATGGTCCAGGCTGAGGAGGAGAGCCAGATTTAACCGGGGCTTAACAAAGTGAGTGCAATGAGGGGGAAGGGCGAGGCAGCCAAGGACGTGGGATTCCAATGACTGACCTAGGAAGTTAATCATATGTAGAGAGCAGGGACAGTAATGGTAAAAAAAAGTTCATGCACATGTGGAATGAACAGAATGAGACTTTGTGGAAAGACTCTCCTAGATGAACCCAGGAGTCTGGATCAGGGAGAGTCAAGGACTATTTATTGAACATCAATCAGCATGTACTGAACACCTTCATTCAAGGAACTACGAGAGGTGCAGGAGCCTGTCTAAAGTCTAAAGCCTGTGAAAAGAACAGCTCACCCAGCTGCACGTACAAAGTTCCTAGTGAGCCCCAGACAAGGGCTCTGCTCAGTAGTTGAAGTAAGACCTTTCCCTTGATTTACCAAAATAACTATTATTAACATGTAACTATTATTAGGTATGTAACAGAGGAAAAGCTTGGAATCTCTGCCTGCATGCTGTATTTGTCTTCTTTTTTGCTTTAATCTTTAGGCCAAAAACAAAAAGGAAAAGGGCTTCTACTTCTGCTTGACAATCATCAAGAGGAATTTTGCTTAGTTAGGTTTCTGCAAATAGCTCCCTACCTGAAGCTCGCCTCTCCATAGGAGATAGAGAAATGTGTATGTTTTTTAAAATGATTGCCCTGCCAAAAATTTACAGGAACATGGTGACCAGACCTAGGCCAGCAGTCAATCAGGCAAGGACACAGAGTCTCGCAGCCCCCGCCTACCCTCGATTGTGCCCAGAGGCCTGCCGCTTTCAGTGTCCTCCTCACCCGCAGCCCCCCATCCCTAGCATAAGAGAAGCTGGAAATCAACCCTGAGTTAAGATGGTACTTTAGGACATAAGCCTCCTTCTCAAGTCTCCTGGCCTTCTGAATAAAGTCATTTTCCTTGCCCCAACACCTTGTCTCTACTTACTGGCCTCTCATGAGGCGAGAGGCATGAGCTTGGACTCAGTAGCAGGTATATGCTTCTATTGAGGCTAAATACATGTATTTCTGTTAAACTACAATATATGTGTTCCTGGAAAACCTGTGTTCTGCAGAAAACGCACAATAAAATTACAGGCTTGTTGGGAAAATAGGGTTGGGGCAGATGCTCAATACGTGCAGTTTTGACCCTAAAATGCTAGCCAGGATAACGTTTGGTGCCTTTGGACATCCAGGGCAGGCACTGGGGCTGGAGGCTGCCTCAGGGGTTATGAAAAATGCACAGAAACCATCGTGGAAACATTGAGATTAAGGCCCAGCAAAGGAAACTGAGCTCTGACCCAGTTAAGGCGGGCCCGGAAGGTGGCCCCACATGCTGTTACCTGAGTGCTGAGCCGAACCCAAGACCTGGGGGTGGAGATTTGCAAACTTGCACATTTACACTAACATAGGTCCCCTATTTATCAATCACAAAACAGCTACTGCTGTCATAGAAAGAAAAACTAGATAATTTATCTTTGTCCTAAAATTTTTTTTAATGACCATGATTTGGAAAGCACTGCTTGAAATTTAAATTTTTAGTATCATTAATAATAACAACGTCATTAACTGCCCCATGCAGAAGAGATTTGTCAGTGTACCTTCTTGACCTTGGCCTCCTTCAGTTTTTCCAACGCCAGCTTAATTTTATCAGCCTTGGCCTGGGCTTCTTCCTCTTCCTGTAACACAGCAAGGCGTTCAACACAGTCCATTAATGAATACCAGAATTTCAATGACTGGAACAAAAACCTTCAGCCCAGAGATCCAGAAGGCAGTCTCCCTTTGTATCTTGGGAATAGTAACTTCAGAGATGGAACGAGTACTCTAACATAGCTTCACCTTTTAAGACCACGAAAAATCTCTGCTTGGTTCAAAACTGGGGTCTAACTTGCAGCATTTACAGGTGGATCTCAAAGGATTTAAGAACTCCCTGAAATGAGGTACATTCTTCTGGAGTAGTATGCGTTTTCTGGGATTCCTAGTTTTTATTAGATTCCTAAAAGGGTCCTTAAGTCCCCAAAAGTTAAAATTTAGATTCAAACCTAAACTTATAATTCACCAAGAAAGCAGATGAACACACGTATGAGCAGGCATAAAAGAGAGCAGACTGTTACATGAGCCCAGAGCCCTTTGATTTTTGCAAGTAAGTATTCTGAGAAGAGGGTAATTAAGGCTCTCTCACCTATTTATAATGATGAGGAAATGAGCTGCTCCGGTTACATTTTGATTACTTAAAAGTGGACTATAGCTTCTTACATCCATGGTTCTTGAATTTCTGAGCCACAGATCCCTTCTGGAATATGTTGGAAGTGACTAAGCCCACGAGGCCTCACATGCGCTCGACTCTACAAACTCTAGGGAATCACTGCTTCCTGGAGATCTTCAGGGACTCCGTATGAAGAGCCTCTGCTCCTTAGAATGATATGAGATGGTGCTGTACACAAATACGGATTTTAGCCCAACTATAACAATCCCTGGATATGGCCTCGATATGTTCTTTATACACATCAGTGTGTCTTCACGGAGGACTCTGGCTTTGCAATAAACATAGTTGGTATCCTTGTTTTTTAGTATCTCAGAGCTCCAGCCATACAAACTTATCAATGTAACTATCACTTTGAAGGAAATGAAAGATCATGGGCAGCAGAGGTCAACAGTGCTTCCATCTCTGGCCCAACACACTTACCTGAGAGAGAGGTTCAGGAGGTGGGGGTGGCAGAGGAAGGTCTAACGTGGGATCAGCCGGTGGAGGTGGTAAATCATCCTTATATTGGCTAATACTAATTGCAGTAACATTTGCTCCAGCACCGAGAGAGGCTGCACTGCTGAGAGGTGAAACGTCCACAGATGCCGGGGGACACTGACTCTGAGAGGACTCCTGCGCCTGGATTGTCCTCTGCTCAGCTTCGCTTATGTCGGCTACAAGGTCTGCCATGAGAGCATCCAAATCTTGGTCTTCCAGGGCATTTAAGGACTCTGATGGGGAAAATCACATTAATGATATAAACAATGATCTGTACCTGAAAAACTGAAAGAAGGTAATTTTTCAGAGTAATATTTGAGTATTGGTTGCCAAGGGCTGGAGGGGAGAAAATAGGGAAAGGTTGGTTAAAGGTACAAACTTTCACTTATAAGATGAATAAGGCCTGAGGATCTAATGCATAACATGGTGACTATAGTTGATAGCACTGTATTGTATAACTGAAATTGGCTGAGAAAGTAGAACTTGAATGTTCTCAGAAAAAAAGTACATGTGTGAGGTGGCAGATGTTAATTCAGTGGAGGAAATCCTTTCACAACAGATACTTATATCAAATCACATTGTACTCTTTATTTTTATTTTTTTTTTATTTATTGATCAAATGGTTGTTAACAACAATAAAATTCAGTATAGGGGGGTCAATGCTCAATGTACAATCATTAATCCATCTCAAGTCTAATTCTCGTCAGTCTCCAATCTTCTGAAGCATAACGAACAAGTTCTTACATGGTGAACGAATTCTTACATGGTGAATAAATTCTTACATGGTGAACAGTACAAGGGCATTCATCACAGAAACTTTCGGTTTTGATCATGCATTATGACCTATAAACAATCAGGTCAAATATGAATATTCGTTTGATTTTTGTACTTGATTTATATGTTGATCCCACATTTCTCCTATTATTATTATTATTTTTATTTTTAATAAAATGCTGAAGTGGTAGGTAGATGCAAGATAAAGGTAGAAAACATAGTTTAGTGCTGTAAGAGGGCAAATGTAGATGATCAGATGATCAGGTGTGTGCCTATGGACTAAGTATTAATCCAGGCTAGACAAGGGCAGCAAAACATCCACGGATGCAGAAGATTTCTCTCAAAACAGGGGGGGTGAGATTCTGAGCCTCACCTCTGTTGATCCCCAAATTCTCACCTGATGGCTCCCCTGCGACTGTGCCTGTCTTAGGTTGTTCCTCCCTTGAGGAATCTTACCCGTCTCTGGCTAACCAGTCATCTTCTGGGGTATTTTTATTTTTTTATTGCAGTACAGTTGATATTATACTGGTTTCACAGTATTATATTGGTTTCAAGTATACGAGACAGTGGTTTAACAGTTATACATGTTATTAAATCCTCATCCCAACTAGTGTAGTTACTACCTGTCAACACAGGAGGATACTGGGTGCAGAACCATTGGCTATATACTCCATGCTGCATTGTACACTTTAAATAGCTTACAGCTTTGTCCATTATACCTCAATGAAGGTAAACCTCCCCCGAGCCCTAAAAAAGGAGAAAAATGCATTTTCTACTCTCACAGATTAGCTATAAAGTCAGATCCAAGCACATTATTAGCTGCCTAAGGAGGGAATTCTTGTTTATTCTGGTGCAAGATCTTAGGGTTTTAGGAAAGTAGCGAGGGGAGATACTGGAAACGGAAGAGGAGTTCTCCCCTGCCTTGGAGGGTAGGCAGAGTACCACTGATGAATGTTTTTGGAAGAAAGTGGATCTCAGCCAGTTGGGGTTTAATGTCTGCAGCCCTGGGTGAAGATAGGTCTTCTGTAGGCACAGCACCTAGCAATAGAAACTCTCAAAGAAAGAGCCATTAATGATAAAGAGCAGGAAATGAAGCACTAAAGGGGCTGAGGAGTAAACAGTAATTTTTAAAATTTGGGATTAAGTGGTAAAAATGCCCTAACACAGAGATATCTTTAGAGGCAAGGGCAGACAGATTTTCAGAGTGAGGGCAAGGGAGGGCAGTTCTCCGCAGCATTTCCACGGTGTGTGAGACTGCTGAAGGACCGGAGGTGTCATCCTGGATGCCGACTGGACTGGGACGCACCAGCAGTGGTGTGGGTGAGCAGTGACAGGAGAGCACTTCAGACAGTCATGGGTGGTGAAAGGAATAAACAAAGGATGGGCAGAATGAGGAAGAGAATTCTAGCTGCTACGTGTAGGATGAACTGGCATAAGGAAATGGGAGCAGGGAAATGAAGCCTAATCAGTAGCAAATAAGCATCAAGCTTTGTGAAATGATTTATCGCCCAGCATCGTCATGATAAACATCATGTTTCATATTGCACTAATGCTAATCGTTTTTGGTGTACTGCACTTGGACTAAATTTGGATCTCCGTTAAAAAACAGGTTTATTTTCTTCTAGGCCATTTTTGCATATAACTTCTTTATAAAATCAAGTTAAATTAATTTTTAAATTTCAGAAAAAAATACATGTTGAACTAATGAAGCATACCCATAATTTCTCAATGGTGGCAGTTGCACTGTGACGGTTGACACATAAGAAAATGATTTTAATCCTTTATAAAAATTTTGGTGACAGAGTTCCCATATTAATACTTATATTAACAATTTCCAAACGTTAAATCATAATCCTAAATACATAAGTGTGGAATTGAGTAATATGGAATTGGGGAATAAGATAGAAATAGATTCTGGTCAAGAGAAGTTTCTCACTACTACCCTGAACAGCTTTGAGCAAACTATTTTTAACTCAGCAATGCTCTAAGTGGAAACAGAAAAAAATGTATTCTAACTCCCAATAAATTTAATTTTCAGTACAATCATTACTTTTGTATGGTCTTGTCCTATATTCAGATTGAGCCACATGTCTGTGCCTTATCTCCTTAATGACATGGATTTCTTGTTACTGTACTTTAAACATTATTATGTTTATATATTGTTGGCTTTTTTGTTTCTGTCCTTTTCAGTAATTTTTTGATACTAGTACTGAGCATTGAGTTCACTACAATTGATGAAGTGATTAAATTTTAATTTTAACCAAACCGATTAATGCACCCAGCTGTTATGAGTGCATTAAGGCAAATCTGCACAGTTCCTGTGTGCAAGTCTATGTTATTTACCAATGTCATAATTCTACAAAAGTGTTCTGCTTTTCTGAAATTTCATGAGTCTTACTATCATTCAACATTATGATGCGAATGACTAACAGGAATAATAAGTTTATATGACAAATAGAAAAGAGGGTGGGGAAAAGAGGAAATCAGAAGAGATGTATTATAATTTGTCAAAATATAAGCATCAGCACCTAAGAGTTTGTCAAAAAATTGCTAAAAATGACAGAAATAAAGAAACCCGGTGAGTGACAGAAATAGAACTTGGAACTCTGAATTTCTGTAACTGGGTTTCTCTATTATTTTCTTTTTCATTCTTTTGGTAGGCACTGCAAGTCTCTGGAAAATATTTTTCAAGAGTTGCAATGCATTCTCATTAATTTGGAAGCAATTACTTCAAGATTCTCTGTAATTTGATTAGCACATGGGTTAAAGATTGTCTCTGCACTAAGTAGGAAGAGAGATTTTTATTAATAAGATAGTATGATGATCTCAGGGAGAACAAAAAACTGTCAAACAGAGCAAATGTATTATGTGTAATAACATAAATCAAATATATTTTGAAGCAATCAATAAAGTGATTGAAAATATATTATCAATCACTGTAAAATAGCTCATTTTTATCCTTGAAGGGGCATTTCCTTAATATTTTCTTATACTACTGTACCTAACTACTTTTAGTAATAAAAGGACTTAGTAATAAAAAGAAACTCTCTTCACTTCTTAAAAAAATAAGAAAGTTTTGAGACTTTTTATGAACACAGGATCGTGTTCCCTTTCATTAGAGGCAAAAATATCCTCTTGGTCTCTCAATTCAATCCAGATACAATAAAACACAATCTGAAGTCCAGGTCTTAAAAAATTCTATTCATCATGATGTATGGGTACCTTAAATTTTGTTTTTAAATTATAGTTCTGTACAGATACTAGTCATCATTATGATTTCAAATGACTTAAGAAAAGAAATTATTATACTTACCATTTAAGTCCTTAAAGCCCACACTAAAGTTAAATTCAGCTCTGGGCGGTTTAGGGTCAGGAGGAGGAAGGGTGTCCACTCCTAAACTCTGTGAAAACAGATACCCATCCCCAAAAGTTATTCATGATATGAACATTTTTGCAGCACATTTAAATCACTATGTAAAAAAATCATTTATTATTTACACATTTTCTCTCCAAATATGTTCTTTGGAAATTGTATTCTCACTTGAAATTTTTTTCCCCTATAGAAAATGTAACTTAAAAATGATTCTAGAAGGTACATCTTGAAACAAAGTAGGTCAACTGAGAATAATAAGAATGAAATAATTTTTATAAATAGAAAAAGTTTCCTGTAATGATGCAATTGTAACACATAGACTATATACAATCATATGAATACTTAAGCAATGACATTTAAAAAAGAGGACTATTTAGTCCCTCAGAAGATAAAATTTGTTTCAGGTTGCAATCTGCTGTCATACAGTGAAAGGTTATGCTGTTATAACCTAATAAAACTCTTGTTAAAAAGAAATTAAGACAGAATAAGTTATTAATTTTATAAAAACATTATCTTTTAATTGAAAAGTGACTTCTTATATGAGCTATAGTACATAGAATATTTAAATCTTCAATAATGTTTTTATGTCTATAGTTTGAGAAGTGATTTCACCTGTTCTTAAACATCAATGTTTTCTTGACAGTGAGTGCACCCTCTGATTAAATTTGATTTGGTAAAGAATATCCCTGCTTGTGACTTAAATTTCTCAAGGAGACCAATCATTACATGTTTGAGAATAAATTAATAACATATGATCATTTATAGTAGAAAAGGAAAAAAAATGTTCATTAAGAAAAAGTTTTAAAAAACTAACACAAGCAAGCCAGAATTAAGGATAAAATGTAGGGAAAACTGACTACAACCCCAGAATTCATTCTAAGAAACAGAACGAGCAAGCAAAGATTGCCAAGAAAAGAGAGGTTAATGGATGAACTATAAGGCAAACACAGGAACAAAAATTTAATGAAAGTATAAAGAAGTTATTCCATAACTAAGAAGTCTAACATCACAATCAGGCTACCAACTAATGATTTTCTCAGGAATATAATTTACTATACTATTTAAAGAAATTAGAAGTAGTCGACCAACAATATATTAATACTAAATGTGTGCTAAAAAGGCTTCTAGTAAAATATGGAGAGAAGGAAAAAAGAAAGGGAAATGATCTTGGGGAGGAGTTCCTTTCATCACAGAAAAGTCACTGAAAGCCCAACATGAAGTCATGGTAGCATGTTTTTTCATGTCTGGTCTATGAAATGATTTCAGGTGAAATACAAAAACAGAAACAATTTAAATATAAATATTGCATACCTGTTTGTATGTTTATTAAGAAAACATTAAGTTAGGGTATCTAATCTACTTACGGTGAAGCTTAATTTTAAAAATCAATTGAAGACAAATATTAAGGAAATAACAGGATAGGTGGGTTGCCAATATGGCAAAAATCACAAAGGCGGCATATGAATGAAGTTTTCACACACTGCTCTGTACTAATTCACCTCCTTAAAAATCATATGCTTGAAAATGTACATCATTAAAACTTACAAAATGGTGATGTTCTAATTTTTTATTCCTTTAATGTTTAATCGGAATTACTCTATTAAGAACCTCTCTCATTAATTATTTGTTCATTCTGAAATACAGTTTGACTAGGGTCATAGAAAGACTAAGATAAATGCTTGATTTTTTTCCTTTTATTTATCAATTTTCAGAGTAATAAATTAATAGAGTGGCAATTTCCAATGGTGACCAATAAAGTAGTTTTGTTTTTGTTTGTTTTGGCTTTTGGGTATTGTATCTCACCTAGGAAAGGTACCCATATCTAAAGGTTGTACAGACATTTCTCTCATGTTTGTTTCTATATACATTTTATATAGTTAGATCTCTGACTCATGAAACTCATTTTGGTGTAAGGCCTGAGACAGAAATTCAGCTTTCAATTTCGCAGATGCATTCTCCAACATAATTTATTAAATTCTCTTTTTCTCCCTATTTATTTAGAATGCCACTTTCATCAAATTTTAAATTCCAATATATATTTAGATCTAATTCTCTTTCATGAATTTATTTTAATGAATCATTAACCTTCTTTTTCATATTTTCCTGGCTGTTTGTGTATTTAAGTTTTCCCTATATAAGCATTACAAATGGCAGGTTCCCCTTCTCCACAAAAACCCAGTCAATACCACTGGTTTCTAGTCTGTGTGTTTGTGTGTGTGTGTGTGTGTGTGTGTGTGTGTGTGTGTACATACATATAACACATGTACATATGCATAAATATAACACACAGAGACAGAATGATAATGAGTATGGGGTAATGGAAACGTTAACTAATTATTTTTAACTCAGCAATGCTCTAAGTGGAAACAGAAAAAAATGTATTCTAACTCCCAATAAATTTAATTTTCAGTACAATCATTACTTTTGTATGGTCTTGTCCTATATTCAGATTGAGCCACATGTCTGTGCCTTATCTCCTTAATGACATGGATTTCTTGTTACTGTACTTTAAACATTATTATGTTTATATATTGTTGGCTTTTTTGTTTCTGTCCTTTTCAGTAATTTTTTGATACTAGTACTGAGCATTGAGTTCACTACAATTGATGAAGTGATTAAATTTTAATTTTAACCAAACCGATTAATGCACCCAGCTGTTATGAGTGCATTAAGGCAAATCTGCACAGTTCCTGTGTGCAAGTCTATGTTATTTACCAATGTCATAATTCTACAAAAGTGTTCTGCTTTTCTGAAATTTCATGAGTCTTACTATCATTCAACATTATGATGCGAATGACTAACAGGAATAATAAGTTTATATGACAAATAGAAAAGAGGGTGGGGAAAAGAGGAAATCAGAAGAGATGTATTATAATTTGTCAAAATATAAGCATCAGCACCTAAGAGTTTGTCAAAAAATTGCTAAAAATGACAGAAATAAAGAAACCCGGTGAGTGACAGAAATAGAACTTGGAACTCTGAATTTCTGTAACTGGGTTTCTCTATTATTTTCTTTTTCATTCTTTTGGTAGGCACTGCAAGTCTCTGGAAAATATTTTTCAAGAGTTGCAATGCATTCTCATTAATTTGGAAGCAATTACTTCAAGATTCTCTGTAATTTGATTAGCACATGGGTTAAAGATTGTCTCTGCACTAAGTAGGAAGAGAGATTTTTATTAATAAGATAGTATGATGATCTCAGGGAGAACAAAAAACTGTCAAACAGAGCAAATGTATTATGTGTAATAACATAAATCAAATATATTTTGAAGCAATCAATAAAGTGATTGAAAATATATTATCAATCACTGTAAAATAGCTCATTTTTATCCTTGAAGGGGCATTTCCTTAATATTTTCTTATACTACTGTACCTAACTACTTTTAGTAATAAAAGGACTTAGTAATAAAAAGAAACTCTCTTCACTTCTTAAAAAAATAAGAAAGTTTTGAGACTTTTTATGAACACAGGATCGTGTTCCCTTTCATTAGAGGCAAAAATATCCTCTTGGTCTCTCAATTCAATCCAGATACAATAAAACACAATCTGAAGTCCAGGTCTTAAAAAATTCTATTCATCATGATGTATGGGTACCTTAAATTTTGTTTTTAAATTATAGTTCTGTACAGATACTAGTCATCATTATGATTTCAAATGACTTAAGAAAAGAAATTATTATACTTACCATTTAAGTCCTTAAAGCCCACACTAAAGTTAAATTCAGCTCTGGGCGGTTTAGGGTCAGGAGGAGGAAGGGTGTCCACTCCTAAACTCTGTGAAAACAGATACCCATCCCCAAAAGTTATTCATGATATGAACATTTTTGCAGCACATTTAAATCACTATGTAAAAAAATCATTTATTATTTACACATTTTCTCTCCAAATATGTTCTTTGGAAATTGTATTCTCACTTGAAATTTTTTTCCCCTATAGAAAATGTAACTTAAAAATGATTCTAGAAGGTACATCTTGAAACAAAGTAGGTCAACTGAGAATAATAAGAATGAAATAATTTTTATAAATAGAAAAAGTTTCCTGTAATGATGCAATTGTAACACATAGACTATATACAATCATATGAATACTTAAGCAATGACATTTAAAAAAGAGGACTATTTAGTCCCTCAGAAGATAAAATTTGTTTCAGGTTGCAATCTGCTGTCATACAGTGAAAGGTTATGCTGTTATAACCTAATAAAACTCTTGTTAAAAAGAAATTAAGACAGAATAAGTTATTAATTTTATAAAAACATTATCTTTTAATTGAAAAGTGACTTCTTATATGAGCTATAGTACATAGAATATTTAAATCTTCAATAATGTTTTTATGTCTATAGTTTGAGAAGTGATTTCACCTGTTCTTAAACATCAATGTTTTCTTGACAGTGAGTGCACCCTCTGATTAAATTTGATTTGGTAAAGAATATCCCTGCTTGTGACTTAAATTTCTCAAGGAGACCAATCATTACATGTTTGAGAATAAATTAATAACATATGATCATTTATAGTAGAAAAGGAAAAAAAATGTTCATTAAGAAAAAGTTTTAAAAAACTAACACAAGCAAGCCAGAATTAAGGATAAAATGTAGGGAAAACTGACTACAACCCCAGAATTCATTCTAAGAAACAGAACGAGCAAGCAAAGATTGCCAAGAAAAGAGAGGTTAATGGATGAACTATAAGGCAAACACAGGAACAAAAATTTAATGAAAGTATAAAGAAGTTATTCCATAACTAAGAAGTCTAACATCACAATCAGGCTACCAACTAATGATTTTCTCAGGAATATAATTTACTATACTATTTAAAGAAATTAGAAGTAGTCGACCAACAATATATTAATACTAAATGTGTGCTAAAAAGGCTTCTAGTAAAATATGGAGAGAAGGAAAAAAGAAAGGGAAATGATCTTGGGGAGGAGTTCCTTTCATCACAGAAAAGTCACTGAAAGCCCAACATGAAGTCATGGTAGCATGTTTTTTCATGTCTGGTCTATGAAATGATTTCAGGTGAAATACAAAAACAGAAACAATTTAAATATAAATATTGCATACCTGTT